CGTCTGGAGGGGGGGGGGGGCGAGAAGTGTGTTGCTAGAACCTAGATGCGCGTTATTGTCACGGGCGTGGGCGTCCACATGGTGCTTTGATCAGGACATGATGAATTCACTCTGGTTCCGGTGCCGTCTTTCTCAAAACTCAAACGTGTCTGCTTGCAAGGTATCTCGATAGTATCAACACATGCCCAACCTGCTACCTACCCACGCCTCGTCTATGGCTTGATCTCCTCCCCCTGCCAGTCCCACAGCTTGCCCCTGCCCTCGAGGCCGATGCCCGTGCTGACGACATCGACGAGGCGCTCGGCCGCATAGTCAGGCTCCAGCAGCCGGCCCTCGGGCACGCCGTCCCAAAAGTCGCGGCTGAGGTCCGTCTTGACGGTGCCCGGATGGAAGGCGACGGCCACGGCATTGTCGCCGCTGCGCGTCTTGAGGTAGTTGTCAAAGCTCTTGACGAGGCTCGACACGCCCGTCTTGCTCGACCGGTACGAGTACCACCCGCCCGCGCGGTTGTCCGTGATGCTGCCGACGCGCGCCGACATGCTCAGCCACGTCGCGTGCCGCGGCAGCGTCACTCTGCTCTGTGCGTCGCCGTCGTTGTTGGCGCCCTCCTCCTCCTCCTCCTCGCCGGGGGCCGCGAGCTTGGTCGTGTTGCGCGGCAGGAACGCGTGAAAGTGCTTCATCAGCATGAGCGGCCCGAGCGTGTTGACCTGGTACGTCGCCAGCGCCTTGGCGTAGTCGACCTGCGCCGGGTTCTTCTCCGGGTGCAGGATGCCGGGGATAGCGAGGGCGAGGTGCAGGTGGTGCGTCTTGCGCGGGAAGAGGGCCGCCGCGCGCTCGGCCGCCGCCGCCATCGTGTCCTCCTTGGTCACGTCGAGGACCACGACGTGCAGCCGGTCGGCGGCGTCCTTGGGGGCCGACGCGAGGAACCGGTCGCGCGCCTCGGACGGCGACGAGCGCGTTGTGGCGAGGATCGGCAGCCGCGTCGTGCGCAGGAGGTGTGCCGTCAGGGCAGCGCCGACGCCGCGGGACGACGGCGAGATGAAGATCCAGGGGCGCGACATTGCTTTGGTGCGGGTGGTGCAATGTCTGAACGATGCTGGTGATGCGTGAGACAGCTTGGGATACTTCCAACCACACGTCCAGATCAACAACCAGCAAGCTGCAGCTACCTATAATTCAATCGACGCCTCCCGCCTAGCCTTGCATTGGCAGTCAACTGAACAATTCCACCTCATACATCGTAATGGACTTTGCCATGTCGATAGTCGACGACATCATGACTCTTGTGGAGTGCGTGCCGGGATCGACGTCATGACGTTCCCCGGTCCCCCTGCGCGCGCTCTAGCTGCTTTCGTACCAGCCGCCTCGCCCGCTCTGATCGGAAACCATCCCAGGGCTAGAGATCTCGGGATACTACGCCAGGGGTAGCGAGATCGATCCTTTCGTCTGACACGTCAAAACGCAATGCCAAAGACCAACGATGGACGATCCTGGAGACATGCTCCGGCCTCCAGACCCAGACACATGACGGTCTTGGCGATCGCCATAAGGAGGACAAGTACCCAGTGCCAAGCTCACTGCTACCTTTGCATGCTCACGGAACCCGTTGTAGAGCCGAGTTCGGCCATGTTGCTTTGAGACTTATGTTGTCTTCCTACATGTACAGAAATGGCCACCGCGCCGGGTGCGCAGAAGCAGAAGCAGGGAGTTTTCGGGTATATCCGCCCATTCGCCTCCTCAGGACGCCGCCTTCCAAATCATTGCAGTCGCCTTGCCGCCCATGAGTAACGGAGGAAACAAAAGAAGAAGAGAAAGAAACATGAGAAAAAAAACATGGCATGCTCACTTGAAGCCTCATGCGATCCACCCAGCCCGTGTTGTCATGCTTCCCATCATATCATATTCTGTAGACCGTCGCTCATCTCATCCTCGTCTGCTCCAGCTCTCCATGCATAAAAAAGAAGAAAGAAAGAAAAAAGAAAAACCTTTCTTAGTCAAAGGTTGTGCCGTCTGGGGGGGTATCCTTTCGCGTGGTAGTATCCAGCCCACAATCAGTCTCGCCGTCATATCCTTCTCAAGTGAATTGGTCAAAACATGTTGAGGTACGCATTGAGAGCCCTTTCCTCTGTTGTTGTCGTCGAAGACTCCAGCGTCCGCGACCGGCCACGGTCCGATTGCTCGAGGCTGACGCGGGCCGCGCCGTGCAGCTCGCGCATCAGTGGCTCCATGGCATCGAGACCACCAGTGTTGGTCGCGGCCGCGCTGCGCTGTTGCTGGCTACCGCTCGTGTTCACTGCCGTCCGGGGTCTCGTCTCTCCGCCGCGGCGTCTGCCACGCTCGCACTCGACTGCGGTCACGCCCTCGTCGACCGGCTTCGAAGTCCTCCTCATCCTTGCCCTTCTGGGCGTGGTGCGCTCACCCATCAAGGCTCGCGCCTCCTGTTCCACCTCGCCTTCACTCCAAGCAGACGACGTGCCGACAAGACCGGAGGCCCTCGACGGCATCCGGGTACCGAGATCGTCCAGCGCGCGTTCGAGCCTGCCGATGAAAAACATTTGATTGCGTTCCTGGCGCCGTATGTCGAGCTCCAGCCTCTCCTGGTTGAGGAGCATGTGGTGTGCCAGGTCCGACGTCCGCTCCGAGCGGCGGAGCGAGGCATAGTGGGCACGCAGCTCCGACGAGGACATGCGAAGGAGAGCGTGCGGGCCTCGCTGGGAGACGAGATGGTCCCCGTGGTAGGCGTCCACCTCAAACAGCGTATCAGACTCGCGATACGCCCCGCGGTTGGAGCTGTTGGTGTCCCGGCCACTGGCCCGAAGCCCCCCGCCTCGGTCTCGAGTCGGAACCAGCGAGCTTGATTGAGCGATGAGCTGGGGCTCGTTGTGGTTCTCGTCCTGAACGTTCCACCTCGGCACGGCTTCACCTGCTCGTCTGTTATCTTCCGAAGTGGGCGTGAAGGAGATGATCACGTCATCGGTCCGCGAGGTCAACGTCGAAGCGGACCAGCGTTCCACATAGACACTCAGCGGCTGGCTTTCCGACATGGGCAACATGGCACTGAGCCTCGAGATGGGCTGCAGCACGGGCGGTTCGGATGACGCACCCGTGTCGGCTGCCGACTCTGTGACTTGATCGGCATCCTCTGCCAGCTCCATGTCAGGGACGGGCACCATGTAGCTCAGCCGCGAAGGAGCAAGACGCTCTTGCTCGATTCGAGGCAGCGTCGCCGAGTCTGATCGCCGGTGAGGGTTAGAGTCGCTGCTGACCGAGTCTAGAATGTTCATAAAACTCGCTTCCGACGGCGCGTAGCTGCTGATGCGGTCGAGTAGAGGAATCGAGCTTGCCCAGCTGGTGCGCTGATAGCTGTTGTACCGGCGAGGCGGCTCGAAGCTCATCGTGCTATCCCTCTGGCCAAGCGATCCTACCTCGGCGTCAACCTCAGCCCCGGCGTCAGCTTCAGTCTCAGCCTCGGGCTGGGGCGAAAGGCTTGTGGATTCTGAGCGCTTGAGGGACTCTTGTTCACGGCTCAGGCTGTAAGCAATATGCTCTGGTGCGCGATCCGCAGTGGGCGGACGTGGGAACTGATTGGTAAAGTCGGACAGCAGAGGCCCGTCCCGGAGCGGCCCTTCGCGAGAGGGAAGCCGCAGGGAGCTGATGGACGTGCCCGCGGTCCGGGGCTTGTCGCTGCTCTGCGTAGAGCCAGAGGCCTGCCGGATGTGGCTCAGCTGTGCGCGGGCCAGCTCCATGTCACGCTGCTTCAGCGATTTGACACGCTCGGCGCGACTCTGCCTGCGGGTGTTCATCTTGGCAGGCGCCCTGCGTGCCGCCTTATAGGGGGGTGAGGCTGCTGCGACAGGGGGCGAGTATTTGGATGCAGGAAGCTGAATGAGTGACGCGCGGGGCGTGGCACCGGGCGTTGTCTGTAGGACGACTGATGCGTTCGAGTAACCTCGTACTTCCCTGGCGTTCTGTACAACGGGCTCAGACCCCTCTGACACAATGCTCGTGGCGATTGATTGCTCCGAGAAGGAGAGGGTGCTCGGACTGAGCTCGGGAAGCTCGATCGGAGCGCTGAGCCTTTCCGTCTGTCTTTGTTGGGTCTCCAGCATGCCGTCGATAGACCATTGATTCTGGCTGCTCATAGCTGCGGCTATGGGCGTTCTGAGGCTCGACTTGCGGGTCGGCAGCTTGATTTCATCGGGCGCTGCGACCGCCTGGGTGAGGCGCTGGAGGCGGATCTTGGCGGCGGGCCAGGGGCAGATTGCAGCATGTTCGACGTGGTCAACCACGAGACGTGAACCTTCCGAAGGCGATCTTCCATAATGGTTTCTGGCGTCTTTGGGCTCGACGTCGATGATCTCGGGACCTCGACATGGTCGTTGGGGTCCATGGGCATGGGTGCCCTGTGCGACTGGGCCGGCGTGCTCGGAGACCGGCCTTTGGTGCTGCCAGACGCTGTACTTGGAGGCGATCGTGGAGGGCTCAGAGGAATGTCGCGCTGCCAGAGTAGAACTGATGAATCGAAACTCTTGGGTTCCATCTTGGGCATTGCGTTCTTCTTGGAGGCCTTCATCATGGAAAGCCACTCCGAGTCTCCGTGTGCGGTACCGGGCGCACTGACTGAGCCATGCTCGTGGCGGGGTCGTAAAGAGCGATCTTGTGATCCCGATGACGTTCGCGGGTCGGGCGGAGGCGACGGCGGGAGCGGTTTTGTAGCGTTGAAAGCTGTGACGGCCCAGTCCGAATCGGGTCCCAGGTGGCAGTGCTCCATGGGGATAGAGATGGCAATATGTGAGTGGCCGCTGGAGGTCTTGGAGGCCACGGCCGAGTCTGGCAGGGCCGTCCTTGGTCGAGTCTCGATCGACAGTGTTGGGGTAGGCTTGTTCAGTTTCGCACGGATTCTCTTACGAAGCTGGCGCCATTTCCCGATGTCCTCGACCATGTCGGCATCGTCATCAAAGGCTGAGGCGAGGTAGTTGTGCGGCGGTGGTGATTCTGTGCGGAGGAACTGGATGAGCTCGCTGATGTCTGACCTCTCGCCGTTGTCTCTGGCGCGAATGCGACTGCCTTCGTCGAGAGAGATCCGCTGGCTGGCATTGTCTTCATCCTCTTCTGCACTGTTGATCGTCATGTTGACAATATCACCGGAGGATTTGGTTCGGGGAAGAGCAGACTTCTCGGCGTCGTCCTGATCCTGACCGAAGAAACTGAAGCGAGGAAAGTCAAGTCGAGGGGCGCCGGCGGCCGAAGACGCAATGGTGACCTCCCCAGGAATGGGTCGGTTGATCCCTTGGATGGCCATCGCGCGTGTCGTGGGGTATGGGGCGGCCCTCCTGAGCACGCAGATCGGCGAAAGGAGAGGCTGACCACTGGAACGTTGTGAAGCAGCGAAAGGCAAGTGGTATGGAGAGACGCCGGCGACTCCTGTCAAGACAGATCAGAAGGGCGCGGCCTCTCGCACAAGCGAACTAGATACGGAGGGTATTTAGCAAGTCTTGTCTTTGGTGCCTTGCTTGAAGGAAACGCAAGGAGGCGAGACAGAGGCCGATATATGTCGGAAATCCGGCTCTGTCCATCAGAAGAAACGCTCATCCACCTAAGCCCATGCATGCGTCGGTACCGTACAGCAGAGCAGGCCAGAGAAGAACAGGGCAGACACTTGGGTGAGAGGAAATCTAGGTGCATGAGGGTTGAGAAAAGAAAATAGAGGCAAAAGCATAAATGTCAAACTGGGCTGGTTTTTTAGACCCGAGCGTGCTCAACCATCCCCCACGATGAAGGCACCAGATCTTCCAGGCCCTCATCCACACACCCGTCCGTGCAAGTGAGAGCCAGCTAGAGACGGCGTAATTAGTGGCCGCTCAGAGTCAAACAAGAGGGGCGAATGGGCCGCTAAAGTGGACGACTTGCGGCAAGGGAGGGCGCGGCGCGGGGCCGGGTGGTCCAGGGCTGGGCTCAGCGCCTCACTAGAGGACCCAGAAGCTCAACCTCGGTGGGTGGGCGCCGTTTGCTAGGCGGACGACCTAGGCGGACCTGACGCAACGCATGGCGCTCGATTGCGTTTTCGCGGGGGGCCACGCTCCATGCCGGGTGAGGAGTCCAGCCCGGTGGCGGAGGCCAAGGAAAAGCGTTGGGCAGCGGGAAGTGCGCGTTGAGCGCCCGGCGGAAGCCAGCAAGCGCGGACGGACCTCACAGCCCTGACGGGTGAGGGTGAGGCAGGGTCCTGAGCCCTGACGATGCTTAGTTCGTTACCAGTCCTGCGACGGCGACTTAATTCTACTGTCCCGTAGTATTTTTGTCCCTTGCCTCCGGTTGTTGTTGTGCTCGCATCGTGTCTCGAGGAAGAGGCACTGAGACAAGCACGATGGCCAAGAGACTCCAGAACGACGGCTGCCGAGAGACAGCAGGCGAGAGGTGCGAAGCCTTGGGGGCAGGGTAGGGGAGGGGGGATGGGAGGGAGAGAGAGAGAGAGAGAGAGAGGTCGAGCGGACATGTCAATTGGCGCAACCTGTTTGCGACAGGTCGCCGAATGTATTTCTTTTCTTGCTTCGCAGGTTCGCAAGCGTCCAAGGTGGCACACCCCTCTGTGGACCGGTCTCTTTTTCTCTTTCTCTCTGTGTGTGTGTGTGTGTCCTGACGATGTCAGTAGCGTGGTGCGGGAAAAGCAAGCAACGAGGCGCCAAGGTCCGATCAAGTTGTCCGTCGCTCTCGTTACGCCATTCGCAGATGACAGCGGTCGCAGGGCCCTAGTTTGTTGTTGTGTAACGACGGCTAGCTCCCTTCTCGACGATAGAGGTACAATGACCCAAGCGAACTCGACTCTTTTCTCGTGAGGCAGGCGAAAGACAACTGGAAGGCGCCAAGATGGGGGGGGGGAGGGGCCGGGCGGGCGGGCGACCATGAAGGAAGGACACGGGCTGAGCGCCAACCCAAGGTGTGCGCCAGACGCGTGGTTGCAGGGGGTAGACGCAACCCAGGTCACGTCTCCAGCCTGCCAGAACGTCCATCGCACATGAACCAGGACAGCATCATCCGACGATCTCCTGCAGGCCCTTGGTTGCTTGGCGGTAAGACCAGGCATCGGAAGCCGGGGCCGGCGCTCGCGTTGGCATGTTGGGACGAGGAGTGGCTGCGTGGTGGCCGGCCCAGCTGGAAGGTTCAGCTTTCTGGTGCTGGGCCTTGCGAGAGCTGTCGAGACAATGTCTCGTCCCCTTACCTCCCAACCAGTCTGACATTGCCCCGCGATATGGGGCCTCACACTCTTGTCTGTTTGGCCCTAGGCGGACGGGAGGAGTGGGCCAAAACATTGAACAGCCGGCCGATGCAAGACACGGCATGCAGGACTGGCTGATCGATGGGTGACAGACTGGCTTCTTGCTTGGGGACACGGTTCTGCTGACCATCAGGTTCGTCATTATTGATAGTTCGTAGGTGACCTGTTAGCTCGGGGGGGTCATCTGGCGTATGGTTGGGTCAACGATGCCAGCGGGCTGTATGTGTGTCAGATGTCCGAGGCGGACCCTGACAATCACGACAATCTTGTCCTGCCTTGTTTAGGTCCCCGAGAGGCAAGAGAAAGAAAGAGAGAAAGAAAAGACACGCGCTTCGACAGGGTCCGGAGCCCGTGGGCAGTCCCCGAGTCGTGGGGGGGGGTCGAGGATGGGAGAGACGTCGTCTCAAAGTAATACCGAGCGGCTGTCACAGGATGGCGCCATGGCATTCGGAGATGGTGCGGCTCCGATTGTGTGTTGCATCCGTCAAACCTGGTGACGATCCATCTAGATACGGCAGTGTGAAGGCGAAGCTTTTTTTGGCAATGTCGAACGCGGGGGTGTAACGCTCGCCATGATGGGGGTTGTGGGATGCGGACGTGGGAGAGGGTATGGGTAACTGTTGACTACCGGGGACTGGCGTCGGCACAACCTCGAGCCGGGAACGTGGCGGTATCGCGTGATCGCTTCTCATGGCTCGCAGCAACGATCGTCGACGGAATCGACAGAGTTGCGCAGTTTTGGTTACGAGGAGATCGAGGAACTTGGTGTTTTTGCCCATCGGTAGCAGGAGCAGGACAAGGCTGGTGCTCCACCTGTGGCTGGTGCTCGTCTTTCCGCCGAGTTTCACTTCACGTTCAAGACGCCACAGCCATGACGCGCTGTCGGTCATCGACTTGTGGCGCCACAACAGCCTCGTGCCGTCTCATGCTCAAACAACTCCAGGCAGTAGGCAGCAGGCAGCAAGCAGCAAGTGGACAGCATCAACACAGCACACAGCACACAGCACACAGCTCACAGCAAAGCACATGGCCATTGCGAGCCGGACTGAGACGACCACCTCGCTTCACCCTGCCGTCTGCTTCTGTTGGGTATGACCTGCATCTGCATCTCAGACATCTTCATCGATCGAGCCCCTTCCCCAGCATGCTGAGAAGCTGTGCCCTGCATGTCGGCAAATGCCCCCCAGCCGGTGAAGCTCTCGCTGCCCCTTGTGAGCACCCGATTCCTTCTCTCCTTGTGCTTCCGTCAGATGCTGATCGTGACGCCAGGAGTACCAACAAACCCTGTTCCAGGAGCTTCGGTCTGACGATGAACTCGTCGTCATCGCCAAGGGCCTCGGCCTCATGCGCCTGGTCACGAACCTGCTCCATTCCTACGATGCCGCCGGGAACAACCTGATCATCATCGTCGGCGCCGAGGATCGCGAGAACGCCTGGATCGGCGAGGCCCTCGCCGAGCACGCCGCCATCAGCATGTCGCCCAAGGCCCGCGGCCTCACCGTCGTCAACACGGACTTTACGAGCGTCGGCGCCCGCGAGAAGATGTACGCCCGCGGCGGCATCTTCAGCATCACCTCGCGCATCCTCATCGTTGACCTGCTGACGAGCCTGCTCAACCCCGAGACCGTCACGGGGCTGGTCGTCCTGCATGCCGACCGCGTCGTCGCCACCTCGCTCGAGGCCTTCATCCTGCGCATCTACCGCCAGAAGAACAGGGCCGGCTTCCTCAAGGCCTTCTCTGACAACCCCGACCCCTTTGCCACGGGCTTCTCGCCGCTGTCGACCATGATGCGCAACCTGTTTCTGAAAAAGGCCTCGCTGTGGCCGCGCTTCCACGTCACCGTCGCCGAGTCGCTCGAGGGCAAGAAAAAGCAGAGGTCATCGAGCTCGAGTTGCCCATGACCGACGCCATGAAGACATTCAGAATGCCATCATGGAGTGCGTCGAGGTCAGCATCCACGAGCTGAAAAAGGGCAACACGGGTCTCGAGATGGACGACTGGAACCTCGACAGCGCCCTTCTCAAAAACTTTGACGTCATGGTCCGCCGCCAGCTCGAGCCCAACTGGCACCGCGTCAGCTGGAAGACGCGTCAGATTGTCCACGACCTGTCCGTCCTGCGCGGCATGCTGCACTCGGTCCTCTCCTTTGACGCCGTCTCCTTCCTGCAGCACCTCGACACCATCCACGCCGCCCACTCGCCGCCGCCCGGCTCCACGCGCCAGAACCAGTCGCCGTGGCTCTTCCTCGACGCCGCCCAGACCATCTTCGAGACGGCACGCAAGCGCGTCTACGCGGCGAGCGCCAGGGCCGCCAACGCCGCCGGCGCCGGCGCCGACATTGACGCCCTGCGGCCCGTCCTCGAGGAGCTGCCCAAGTGGGCGCAGCTTGCCGAGGTGCTCGACGAGATTGACCGTGCCCTCTACTTTGAACCCCCCGTGCGCGACGACTCGAGCGGCTCCATCCTCATCATGTGCTCCGACGCCAGCACGTGCAAGCAGCTGCGCGACTACGTGCAGACGATGCACGTCAAGCCGAGGGTGGACAAGACGACGACGGCTGCTGCGGCACCAGGCGCGGAGGAAGAGGAGAACGGCGGCGGCGGCGGTGACGACGGCCTCGATGTTTCGGGCGCCTTTATGATGAGGAGGAAGCTGCGCAACTACCTCAAGTGGAAGGGCGAGTTGAAT